ACAAACAAGCTGAGATCCAAATCTCTCATACGAGGGAGATTCAACTAATACCTTATTTATGGCACTTCTGCTAGATTTTTTAGTTAAAGGTGGTGGGAATTTTTTCAGAAATCTTACTATCTGAAGTTACCGTAACTGGTCCCGGAAATTTGGACAAAAAATTTTGGGCTGTGTTAAGCATAACTTTATGTTTCGCTCTTCAGCTATATTCCTATGGAAGGCCATTATGTAAGAATAAAAATATCAAACAGATAGGCACACAAATGATAAATATCGTAAGTGAAAATTTGGTACTTCTTACAACACAGAGTATTTTAAAATACATCTAATAATTGGAACTCTTTATTTTTAACTTCGTATACTTCCCCAGAGTCAGTTCAATGACTTCAGAACTACTCTCTCAAAGCTCCAACCCTTCACCAGACAGTTCTTCTAAAGTCTTTAGTTGCTTCCACGCTCAACAAAACCGTGTAAGTGCAAAACACTTCTGGTTTAAGTATGCAATGCGTGAAATCTGGCGAGTTTGCGACTGTTTGTGAAATGAGAGAAGTGCGCGCACGACTTTTTTTTGCAATGAATATACGGTAATATGTAAATCACGAACAAAATCCTCAAAGTCGCTTTTCGATTAAAAAAAAGTCTGTTTTGATTATTGGTTGCAACGATGAATGAGTTTTTGGTGACGAAAGTAGAGGAATAGCAGAAATATCCGATGTGCTCAAGATCGGATAGTAATTTTCACAATCATTACGAATCATAACGAAAGGGCGAATCATAAGGAAAGGGCGCCAAATATCTAATATATTCTTACCCTGTTCAATGTCAAACTATGATAGTGTCAGTTCCTCCGATATCCCGAAGTATATGCTTTTCAATGCTCTGGATTGAAAACACCGTAAGTTTTGCAATTTCAATATCTCAAAGAGAGAGTTTAGGAAATCGAAATGGATGCGAATAAGATCTGACAAGGATAAATGGGTTTTTGGAAGTGTTCAGTTTTCACATTAATTAGACCATCGTTCCTAGTGATAAAAATTAGAACTTCAATTTGTACTTCGCTTGCTCT